TAATGCCTCGATGGTATAATGACTGATCATAATTGATCCCATTTCTGTGGGTTTTTTACCTCGATATTTATTCACGTCATTTAAAAATATGACGTATAATATTAAAAAATGACATTTGATCTATTTGAATGCGTAAACTAAACAACCCCACTTTGCCATTGCTAGAAGAATCTGAAAATTTACTTTGGTGAATAGGTACATACAGTTTTAGCACACAGCAAATGCTTATGTGTATTTCTTATGCAACAATGAAGTTCTGTCCGTATTCTCAAAATAGTGTCTGCCCATAGGTTTTCACAAGCAATTAAAATTGCATGCAATTCAGCAATTAATACTCCCTCGTTGTAACCCGTGTTAGGTGGTATAAACCTACACATGTTATTTGTCATCATTCACTTGATGGTCAGTTAATGAATTTAAAACAGGTATAATTAGTGGTAACACCACTTGGATAACCCGACAAAGGTTCCCATTTTTCATTTCTTGTGTCTGGGGTAAATACTCAACATTATAAACATCGATCAAAGGATTAACCGATAACACGCTGATTGATTAAATACTTTTATCTTACACAGAAGATTTGTCAAAAGGTAGTGTTCATGTATGTAGATTTACTAATCTATACTGAATACACTCTGTCTGCTGCCCCATGTCCCATTTCGATCAAAGGATTAACCGATAACACGCTGATTGATTAAATACTTTTATCTTACACAGAAGATTTGTCAAAAGGTAGTGTTCATGTATGTAGATTTACTAATCTATACTGAATACACTCTGTCGTGTCGGTGTCTGCGTAAAACAACTTCCTTCTTTCAAAGGATTAACCGCCAAGACATTGATTTATTGCTCATTATTGGCTAACTAAATTACTTTTTTGTAAAGAATGGTGGACATTATGCGATTAGTTCCCAGGTATGCTATCTTGGGTGACCAATGATATATCACCTTTGGTAAACATGTATTAGATGTATCATTTGGAACAGCTGCAGGTGAATGGCATATCACTCGTTTTTGTGGATATTGATGGATACATTCCTGGAACAAAGTAATAGCCTGACATTGTTCTTATAACTCTTATCTGTTTTAATTTTAATAATTGCATTTTGTTTTTATTCATTTGTCGTGGCATTCAACAGAATCATTGTTTTCGTCGTGAAGTAATGAGACAGACAACATACACTAGGGCGTGTGTGCGAATTATGATTTACATTGGCTAACTATAAAATGTCTAGATATTCAAGTTATAAGTATAGGCAGATCGCCTGATTTTTATTTAGTTTCAAAATGCATACAAGTATGATAATAAACTAATTAGGATTATAAGACCAAATATAAAGACGCACGTTGACGAGTATCTACATACCGGTGAGTGGACGTTAACCACGTGAATGTAGCAAGACATATATTGCGCAGTATTGTCACTTCGACCCCCACCTCGCTTCCGAGGAAGAAATCGTTATGTTACAAGTTGTGTCATGCCAAATCCTGTTGGCCATGATTCAAATACATATTTAACTACGAGTAGAAAGTAGTTTTGATTTTCTAACTTGATGAAAACAAACCATAATCTCATTAATTCTTTAACAGACTTTAGCCCGTGATGTTACGATTATTATAAATGGCAGCGCCCTGTCGCGAACATCCGCCAGTCTGAGAATAAATGCTATTTAGGTTTGTTTTCACTGAGTTATAAAATCAAAACTACTTTCTACTGGTAGTAAAATATGTATTTGATTGATGGCCAATAGGATTTTGCATGGCATATCTTATAACATAACAATTTCTCTCGTGGAAGCGAGGTGGGTGTCAATATAACACTACTTACAATATTATTGTCACTTCCACCACAACCTCGCTTCCGAGAAAGAAATCGTTATGTTACAAGTTGTGTCATAGAAAATCATTTTGGTCATCAATCATACATTTATTGTACTACAACTAGTAAGTAGTTTTGATTCTTTAACTTCCGCGAAGCGATCTGAACACATTTAAGATATCGTTCCAAGCTTCCACAACGCTCGCTTCGCACTCACAAACATAACCCATTTAGCACGAACTACGGGGTCCGGTGGAAATTAGTGCATGGTGACACCATCACTCGACCCCCTAAGAGGGCAACGCAACGATTGACGGCAACGCAACGATTCGTTTTGCTTTGAGTAAGTTTCGTTGTTCAGACCATCCTTTAATGTTGGAATATGGGTGGAAGGTAAATATAAAACAACATGAGCGATTCTGCCCTCTGTGTATTGTTCTTACCATTGAATCAGAGTACCAATTCTTTATTGAATGTTTATTTTACTGTGATCTGAGAAACAGCCTGCTCCCACAATACATTGTACTACATAAATAATCCATGTGAAACTAAATTTATCAACTTATTATTGTCTTGCAATTCTACAACTGTTAACAACCTTGCTAAGTTTATATTTCTTGCATTGACAAAAAGAGCGATGTTTTTTAATATAGAGTATAAGATTAAATGAGACATTGTACATGTTAGCATACAGCTTAATATTATATATGGCGCTGGATTGTATTGTCATCTTTATAATTGTATAATGGGTCGGTGGCCCTTGTACGAAATTAACTCTCACTCACTAGATATATGCTTACGATGACACATACTTAAACTAAACGTGACAAAATTCACTTTTCACCCAAAACATTGAACATTTAAAATGTGTTCACCACTGCAATTTCGACTAGTCAAGTCGGTAATCCTTATACGTTAATCCCTTAAACAATCATTACTAAAACAACACCAAACATCAAAGACTACCGCCAGTCGCCATAACGCCCCCCATGAAACACTCATGCCGCCCCCATGCCACTATAGCAATTAGCCCATGCAGAACAATAATTTACAATCACCCATCAGTTATCTCCCCTTGCGGATATTTCCAAAATTGGAAATCTCACATTTCCAAAATTGGAAATTTTTGGAAACATCATCTTTCCAAAATTGGAAATGTCTTGGAAACATCATCTTTCCAAAATTGGAAATGTCTTGGAAACATCATCTTTCCAAGACATTTCCAAGCTTGTAAATGTGGATTTTTTTCCAGTGTCTAGTCATGTAATAAGTCCCGTGTGTCGCACTACACAACAACCAGCCTATTTATAGCTCTTACACAGTTCTCGAGCTTTCTAGCAAAGCTAGGCTCCCTCACTATCCCTCAAAACATTAGGCGATTTTGTGAACATACGACCGGAAGTAAAAACAAAATAAAGCCAGCCAAGGGAGGCAACTCTGATTTGCTATCAAAAAGGCTTACCGCCTTTGACCATATATGATGCGAGATGCGAGCCAAAACCCACACTCAAAACTTTACATATTGTTACCCTTAATAATTATCATTTAATCGATGTGATATTACAAATTACAAAAAACACACTCTCATAACAGTCAGCCCGAAGTTTGTCTTGAATCTGGGCATTCTGGAGCTTGTCTCGAACTTGCATTCGAAGATAGGTGTAGGCCTGATCTTCCACAAGATGCTCAATAACTCCTCCCCCCTGTAAGTTATTATTATTATCATTATCATTAAAATACATGTACATGCTTTCTATGAGAGTGATGTACGCTTATGCCTACTTTGTCATTGTTCTCTTGTTTCGTTTATTCCAATCAGGGCAGAGCAGACTCATATGCATAAAGAGAGTCAGTGAGTGTGTATGGTTTTACGGTGCTTTTAGCAATATTTCAGCAATATCACGGCGGGGGACACCAGAACTTGACTTCATACATTGTACCCACTTGGGGAATCGAACCCGAGTCTTCAGAGTGCCGAGCGAACGCTTTAACCGTTAGGCTACCCCACAGCCCCTGTTAATGCATAAACAGACAAACCAGAAAACATAAATGACTAACTGAGTATGGTTTTATGCCGCTTTTAGCAATCTTCAAGCAGTATCACGACGGGGGACACCAAAAATGGCCTTCACACATTGTACCAATGTCGAAAACATACACTAAACGCCAAAAGAAACGTTACCCTCATTACTTAATTACGGAGGTACCTATCTTCAGCTGGCTTTGTGATGCGTGGACGTCCCCTTTTTGTTCTGTCTACGGTGACCTCAGTCTATCTGAAGCCCTGAATACGACTTACAACCGTGATACGGTGGCATCCGAGGGCTTGGCAACAGAATAGTATGTCGACCCCCACCTGCAACATCCAAAGGGCTCTTTCTTTCTCTTCAGCTGTTAATCGTCGCATATTTCTCGTACTTGTGTATCATATCATCTTTTCTAGGCTCTCTTCAGTCCCCATAGAATCATTCTATATGTGAAATGGATGTAAATACTGCTTGAATATTGCTGCGTTTTGCTATTGCTATGTGTAAACAGAAAATGGAAAAATGTTACTTTGCAAGCAAACATGGTAACAAAGCTCATTGAAGATGTTCCTAAACATTTTTTCACAATATCAACTTGTTTTCATGAGTGCAAATCAGCAGAAAATGTTTTAAAAGACTGAAATCATAGGAATGATTATTTTCCAATTGTACACACTCTACAACAGTTGTTTCTTGTTTTAATAGTTGAAAAATGGTGATATTAAATGGTTTATCTTTGTCCCAAAGCAGGATTTTATTTCAACCTTTCTTTTGGACATCTAAATCACTGTAGTTGGTATATTTCAACATGGACGAAAATACTACAACTCAACTCTTCTGAAAAAGATGCATTTCATCTAAATATGAATGCATTTCAGAATTAGTTTCCGTGATTTGCATAAAGCTGTGTTGTTAAGCTTTCTTGTAAACTAATTCCTTCTAACATATCTTTGATAGTTTTTAAGTAATTCATAAAAGTATGAGGGTAACGTTTCTTTTGGTGTATAGTGTATATGAGATGACATACATCAAATGCATACTTAATAGAAAAGGAATACGTGGAGGGGCGAGACCGGTAAACGACCCGGGAACATATCTGAACTTGCAATGCTGCTCTATTCGGGATTTGTACTTGATTATCGGAGCATGTCGGCCTCTTGTCAATAGAAACCTTGCTAATAGAATACTACACCTCCAGAAATGGTTGAGACGTCATTGTGACACTCGCTAAAGGTAGCGTCCCACACTCATGGTTAGATACATTACAACGAGTTAAAGAATGTTCTTGAAAAGCGTATGAGGCGACGCCTGTGAATACCTACCCTGATCAAGACTATCGAAAGATCTAGGCTCATCGCCATACGTGGCGCTACTTTTGTGAATGAGGTTAGTTGTACTTGCTTCCTCTTGTTTTGTTAATGATCATAACTTCTTAATAATCTTTGTAATATTAACGTTGTATCTGCAGTTGTCCCTTGTTGTTCCAACACGGGATTGTTTATGTGTGCAAGGACGAATATGGAAAATCGGTGTGAGTGTATAATACATACATACATACTAACATTTGTATAGCGCCGATATCCAGCTCAGCTCAGCTGCTCAAAGGCGCTTTGTTTTTCCCTCGTTCACTGGATGTCAATATAATGAGTTAAGCCAGGCTTGGTTGTCGGAATCATTCTTTCTAATATGTGGGGCGGTGGGGTAGCCTAATGGTTAAAGCGTTGGCTCGTCACGCCGAAGACCCGGGTTCGAATCCCCACATGGGTACAATGTGTGAAGCCCATTTCTGGTGTCCCCCGCCGTGATGTTGCTGGAATATTGCTAAAAGCGGCGTAAAACCAAACTCAGTCAGTCAGTCAGTCTTTCTAATATTTTCTCTCAACTGCTTGTTTCTGTGTATTGGCAACACAACATATGTAGTGACATTACAAAGCACTTGACATTGGACATATCAGGTACCATTATCGGAATTATCTATGTTTTATGTACTTGCTAATTTTACCCTCCCCTATTAGAATGTAGGGGGGCGGTAGGGTAGCCTAGTGGTTAAGGCGTTCGCTCGTCACGCCGAAGACCCGGGTTCGATTCCCCACATGGGTACAATGTGTTAAGCCCATTTCTGGTGTCACCCGCCGTGATATTGCTGGAATATTGCTAAAAGCGGCGTAAAACCAAACTCACTGACTCACTAGAATGTAGGGTATCGTACATTGTTTTGTTTGCGGAAATTTCCTTGCCAAGTTAAAGGGGAGTCTTAACTCCATAAAACTAGTTCCTTCTGCGTTTTGCGTCTATTTCATTGTCCAAGAGGATTCTTTTAGAGATAGACCCTCGCGGTTACTTCGTGCTATGTTAACCCAGTCGAGGTTATTCCCTCATTAGAGAGTTGAGTTCATTCATTCCCATGTGTTAATTGGTAGCAGCTGACTTAACTGTCTGTGCATCTTGACTGAAAAGCTTAGAACCATTATTACTTTCAGGGGTATCTTCTCGTTATGACTACTCTCAATATGACTACTCCCACTTTGCCTACTAATGAACATAAACATATAATGGAGCACCCCTGCACTTAATAATGCACTGTACTTGTATAGCTGATTACTCCCAGTTTGACTACTCCCAAAATGACTACTCCCACTTTGCCTACTAATGAACATAAACATATAATGGAGCACCCCTACACTTAATAATGCACTGTACCTGTATAGTTGATTACTCCCAGTTTGACTACTCTCAATATGACTACTCCCACTTTGCCTACTAATGAACATAAACATATAATGGAGCACCCCTGCACTTAATAATGCACTGTACTTGTATAGCTGATTACTCCCAGTTTGACTACTCCCAAACTGACTACTCCCACTTTGCCTACTAATGAACATAAACATATAATGGAGCACCCCTACACTTCATAATGCACTGTACCTGTATAGTTGATTACTCCCAGTTTGACTACTCTCAATATGACTACTCCCACTTTGCCTACTAATGAACATAAACATAGAATGGAGCACCCCTGCACTTAATAATGCACTGTACCTGTATAGCTGATTACTCCCAGTTTGACTACTCTCAATATGACTACTCCCACTTTGCCTACTAATGAACATAAACATATAATGGAGCACCCCTACACTTCATAATGCACTGTACCTGTATAGTTGATTACTCCCAGTTTGACTACTCTCAATATGACTACTACCACTTTGCCTATTAATGAACATAAACATATAATGGAGCACCCCTGCACTTCATAATGCACTGTACCTGTATAGTTGATTACTCCCAGTTTGACTACTCTCAATATGACTACTCCCACTTTGCCTACTAATGAACATAAACATATAATGGAGCACCCCTGCACTTAATAATGCACTGTACCTGTATAGCTGATTACTCCCAGTTTGACTACTCTCAATATGACTACTCCCACTTTGCCTACTAATGAACATAAACATATAATGGAGCACCCCTACACTTCATAATGCACTGTAGCTGTATAGCTGATTACTCCCGCTTTGTCTACTCTTTGAAATAAACCTATTAGGGAGACTCCCAGGGACTACCCGTATTTGAATCATTAGAAGCCAAGTGAACAGGCATCTTGTGACCATTCATTGTTTGTTTTGATATTAATTACACCACTGTGTAAAGGGTAGGGGAAGTACTTGGTTATCTGGATGACCTGTAGCGTTGCCTCAGGAGAAAGAGCAAAGTATATTTTACTTTCTAAGAATACATTTATTTTGTTGCTACGTTTAGCTAGAGTAGCAAGTTTTAACACGTTTGGGCGTACATAAAGAATGGTGACAACCGTTTCTTTTCTATATTCGTAAAGTAATCACAACTCAAACGTGTATGAGGGTCATTCTCACTTACCCAGCAGCTTTTGTCTTTAGGGTCCCAGTTCACTGGAGCCAGATAATCCCCTACAACAAAAGGTGGGCTTTTTATTTTGTTCTCTGTGGTATTTGGTCACCTGTGATATCTAGTCACTGTGTTGTATGATCCTGTAAACTATGAAACCTTTACATTAAGGAATAAGTTTGACAGAATATTGATCGAACACTTTTATTTTTACATGACACATATCAATAATTTACATCGCTTTATATCCATGTTATATAAACATATATTTTATATACATCTTATATACATCATATTAAATACATCTTAAATTTATTTTTAACAATAGTGCTTTATGCTGACAAGATTATTAGATATATATATTTGTCTAATGATGGATAATTACAATACTAGTTTGGTAGGAATGAATTTCTTACATTACTTAAACATGGACAATATAACATGAAGTGAAGTTCATCTCCTATTGTGTTCTTACACAGTGTACATAATCTTTCTTCTTTAATAATATTATACCATCTACCTGTTTCTATTTAAAGTTTATGGTTACAAGTTCTAATATAGGTAAGCCAAATGCGTACATTTAATGGGAGATGTAATAGATAACTTTCAAGGTATGGATATATCTTAAACATATTATAATAGTGGCCTTTAGTAGATTTCGATTTACATTCGTTCCAGTGTTGATAAAACTGGTTACATAATATAGACTTAAGGTTACTTTTAAGCCAAATCTTACTTGTACAGGTTTGAGACATCCATATATAGTTTAAGCCAGAACATTCCAAAATTGTTTTAACAACACTGATAAGAGTTGATCGAACACTTTTATTTTTACATGACACATATCAATAATTTACATCGCTTTATATCCATGTTATATAAACATATATTTTATATACATCTTATATACATCATATTAAATACATCTTAAATACTCTTATATACATCACCTTAAATACATCTTATGTACATCATCTTATATACACATCAGTTCCATACACTACAAATTACACATAAGTACCCGGTGAGATGAGATGCACAATCTGTGTACTGAGTCACAGACAAATCACCAGCTTGAAATCTGGTCTTGAAGGTGGCAAGTCGACTGTCCACCTCAATGTAGACTTGAATGAATGAATGGTTTATTCTCATGAAGATCACGCAATAGTGACATAGAGAAAAATACAAATGTACAGATTTGTTTCATGGGAGCATACGTAGTCCGGTTTTCACATAGTTGCTTATTTTTAACAATAGTGCTTTATGCTGACAAGATTATTAGATATATATATTTGTCTAATGATGGATAATTACAATACTAGTTTGGTAGGAATGAATTTCTTACATTACTTAAACATGGACAATATAACATGAAGTGAAGTTCATCTCCTATTGTGTTCTTACACAGTGTACATAATCTTTCTTCTTTAATAATATTATACCATCTACCTGTTTCTATTTAAAGTTTATGGTTACAAGTTCTAATATAGGTAAGCCAAATGCGTACATTTAATGGGAGATGTAATAGATAACTTTCAAGGTATGGATATATCTTAAACATATTATAATAGTGGCCTTTAGTAGATTTCGATTTACATTCGTTCCAGTGTTGATAAAACTGGTTACATAATATAGACTTAAGGTTACTTTTAAGCCAAATCTTACTTGTACAGGTTTGAGACATCCATATATAGTTTAAGCCAGAACATTCCAAAATTGTTTTAACAACACTGATAAGAGGTAAATATATGTTTGGGTCATTCGTTTTCATTGTAAACATGATCCGATATAAAATACTAGACAATGTGCCAGTTGATGAGATTAGTTTGCACCAATATGAAATGATTCTAACCTTTATAAGGATATCTGTTGGATATCTTCCCAGTTCACCATATATCATATAATCTGGTGTTGATTGCTGAACTTTTAATATATATTTACCAAATTTTAAATGAACCCTTTCTAAGATAGTACTCTTCTCGAACCCCCAGACTTCTGAGCCGTATAACACAATTGGCTGCACAAGGTGATCGAACACTTTTATTTTTACATGACACATTTCAATAATTTACATCGCTTTATATCCATGTTATATAAACATACATATTATATACATCTTAAATACTCTTATACACATCACCTTAAATACATCTTATGTACATCATCTTATATACACATCAGTTCATACACTACAAATTACACATAAGTACCCGGTGAGATGAGAATGCACAATCTGTGTACTCAGTCACAGACAAATCACCAGCTTGAAATCTGGTCTTGAAGGTGGCAAGTCGACTGTCCACCTCAATGTAGACAGGTGGCTAATTAGGTGAGCTAGGCCCGTGAGCTAATCCTCCAGCTTGCGGGACCATATCTCACAGGGATGAACAGTATTTGCACAATCAAGCAAACATAACTGTTAATCCACCTAAGCTGCTGGGTGAACGAGACGACCCCGTACAATACATAATAGTATCAAATGTTTACATGCACTAAGGACATAAAGCATTACTCGAGATAACATTTTGTGAAGGAAGATGTCAGAACTAAACGTTATATCCTTGTCCCGGACTTTAGAAACAGAGCTTTTATATCCCAGATACATCATATTCGTCGTTACTTTATATTGTTTAACACAGTTAAAACGAAGGTATAAATGCATAAGTCGTTGACGTAGAACTTGAAGCCCATTTAATACAATTATTGCTAAAGGTGTAGTGTGAGCACACAACAATTATCAACTTTGTTGGAACATTAACTGTACAAGTGTATGATCGTATTGTTTGAGTTTCATCTATTTGAATTATATTAACCTTTATTTATCATATCACTTAACATATGATGCCTCAAGATATTTATGTAAAAATATGCAATAACAGTTCCTGTTTTCTATTTGAAACCTGTATGTTGATTATTAACATCAGCTTTGACAATGTAGCATATGTTATATTTGGGATTGCACTTTCTTCGAACCCACACCTTCAGAGGATGGGACTCAACCCAACAAAAGTACTAGAATTTGTACTTTACTAAGAAAGTGCAATCCAAAATATAACATGTTACATTTGACCACTTTCTAAATGGCATTATGTATTCAAAACTTTGACAATGTTCCCAACCTATGATTTCTTTTAGCATGTGAATACTCGAGTATTATAGTCTGAAATAAAACAATTCGTTTCTGTTGAAATGTGTTGGCCCCAATATATGTGACTCATACATCTGTCTAAGTAGCAGATATTTCTAAAACATAGATGCGTATGCATGTATATAGATTGTGACTGGAACTGAAAGGTAAGAACATTCCTGGTATTGTATATGCTGATAAACACTTGTGTGTTAATATCTGGATTTGACCTAACAGTTAATAATGAAGTAAGGTGCCTGACATGTGTGACGAACATTCCCTGCCTCCGTTACATTTTGCCTCCATCTCATTCTGCTGCTTTCTGTTTGTGTCTACATTTCTCTATTACAGTTTATTCTACCTTTGTCTAATCCAGCCTACATCCCGATCTGCCGTCTTCTTATTGTTCCTACAACTCATTGGTCCTCCATCTTATTCAGACGAAATTTCGATTAACCTACTTCCCATTCTCCCTGCATCGTCTTCTCCCAACGTCTTATTTTGCCTACATCTCCTTGTGCTTAAATCTCATTCACTGCCTACATCTCGTTTAACAAACTTCCCATTCTCCCTGCATCGTCTTCTCCCAACGTCTTATTTTGCCTACATCTCCTTGTGCTTAAATCTCATTCACTGTCTACATCTCGTTTAACAAACTTCCCATTCTCCCTGCATTGTCTTCTCCCAACGTCTTATTTTGCCTACATCTCCTTCTGCTTAAATCTCATCACTGCCTACATCTCGTTTAACAAACATCCCATTCTCCCTGCATCGTCTTCTCCCAACGTCTTATTTTGCCTACATCTCCTTCTGCTTAAATCTCATTCACTGCCTACATCTCCTTCTGCTCAAATCTCATTCACTGCCTACATCTCCTTCTGCTTAAATCTCATTCACTGCCTACATCTCCTTCTGCTTAAATCTCATTCACTGCCTACATCTCCTTCTGCTTAAATCTCATTCACTGCTTGCATCTCCTTCTGCTTAAATCTCATTCACTGCCTACATCTCGTTTAACAAACTTCTCATTCTGCCCACATCTGGAGGAGCCTACTTTAATCTGAAAGCAATTGAAGGAAGCAAACATGCTATTTGTAACGTAAACAACGATATCAAGAAATATTATGTTCATTCAATCCAAGCCATCCGAGTTTTTAAGATTAAATAGCCAAAGGCCATATTTAATTTTACAGTTAAGCGCAACTGTTCCTCGCGATCGGCCATGCGTACTGCTGAAATGGGTGTCGTTGTGAGTGATGGTATATGCTACTTTTACAGTAATTGGACTTCACTTTGAAAAGAGTGGTTTGGAACAAGTGGTCTTCACTTGGACACTAAAGTTTCCAAGATGTCGAGGATTACTTTTCGGCGCTTTGTCCTCGTCACGGCGTTGGTGATTTTGATGACGTTCATATGGACATATAGGAAAAATATGAAACTGGATTTAGATGATTCTCCAAGGAACGCAGCAGTGATTGGTGTAAGTATATCCTGTCATGATAGTGTCATTCAAACAGATAATGTATGTCAATTACTATTGCACTATAGTTAATTACGCATTATTGTTTTGCTTGTGCACCCATTCACGAAACACTAATGCATATATTATGCTGATACATGAATATATTACAATGTATTTGAATTTCAGACCAGCTGAATGAGAGATGAATGGAATGGAGGTTAACCTTGATAGCGTCTCATACATAACCAGGAGGTCTCATAACGAGACAAGCATCTCTGAAGGCAGTACTAGTATGTTCTATATACTCACAATATGTGATTGACACACCCTGTACTGAAGACCAGATGTGTAGTCAGATACATGTGCTGTCAGGCATGGTTATTGGGAGTTGAATTACACAACTCGTACAACGGGTATTGACACACCCTGTACATGTGTAGTCAGATACCTGTGCTGTCACACGTGGTAAATGGGAGTGGAATTGTACTTTATTCATACTGAAGGCCACGGGCCCATAGTATACAAGAACATAGTACACAATATCATAGAAAAGAATAAAATAGTCAAATCACAATATGTCATATCGCATCAAAATGTATCACATCATATAACATCGCATTACACATACTTTGTCGTATCACATCATATCATAACACCCCATATTACATCATGTCATATCATACCATGTATCATATCATATCATATCATATCGCACCACATCATACCATATCGTAACAAATAACAATATGAGTACATACATTCTATGAATTATTATGTTTATTTCTTAGAGACAATGCTTGATAGATAAAGGTTGACAACTTACGGATAAGAACATTGTCATCAGTACTCATTAACAAAGAAAATTTCACCCTATCGGGATATACAGAATAATATCTTGGGACATTTTTTTTTCTTAACTCACAATATAATGGGCAAATTAAGAGGAAGTGATATTCATCTTCTACACAATTAAGATCACAAAATGTACAAATTCTATTTTCCCTCTCTATTTTATGATATCTCCCTGTTTCGATTGCCAAGTCATGTGAGGAACACCTAAACCGAGCAAAAGCCTTTCGAAATTTCTTGATATTTAGTGACAGCAGATAATTCTCTCTGTATATATGGGATTTAAACATTCTATAATAGAAACATTTACTTGACAATGACAGTGCTCCTACCCATTCTTGTGTATATATATCTTTGAGCCTTTGAGTAACATTATTCACAAAATTTGTATGAAAGTCAACATTTTGCCTTTGCCATACCTCCCCAAAACCTATTGTATTTAACAATTCTCGAATGTTAGTCACCCAGTTAGTCTTCCCGTTGTTATCGTACATTAACATCATATCATAACACTGTCTAGGGTATCTATCAGATGGCATATATAACAGACGTATCCAATATTTTATTATTCTAGCTTTAGCAAAAAATGTGTATGGGAAATCTTCCACAATCTCCATATACCATGGCATTAGGTGTACTTACTTTCACTCCTAAAAAATTCTTGCAAGTATATAAGTGTATTTTCTCAATTACGTCAAAATTATTGAAACCCCATACCCCTGAACCATACAATAGAATAAGAAGGGTTTTTGTATCAAATATTTTGAAAAAAGAATGATAATCAATATCTACGAGTTTGTGAATACTTTTGAGAACCCCAATAAGTACCCTTTTGGCTAGTGTGGAACAATATTTAGCATGTGCTGAAAAGCCAAGACGATTAGTGAAGTAGACTCCAAGGTATTTATATGATTGTGTGACTTGGAGCGGCTCTCCTTTATAATACCATTTTTCCGTTTTAGATAGTTTGCCCCCCATTTTTGAATACGACTATTCTAGTTTTCTCAAAATTAACAGTTAATCCTGCCTCATTGCAATAATGTTCCAACTCATGTATATGCCTTTGTAATCCAACAACAGTAGTCGCAAACAGAATCATATCATCGGCAAACAACAATAAAAACAATTGTGTCAAATAGGGATGTAACTGGATACCATGAGTACCATTTTGTTGTATTATCGAAGCAAATTCATTAATGAACATTGAGAACAGGAATGGACTCAGAATACAGCCTTGTCTAAGCCCAACATTGCAATTGAAGGTATCTGATATTTCATGATTATTTCTGATGCAAACTTTCACATTATCATATATCTTCTGTAGCAATCTATTCATCTTAGAGCTAATACCATGTTTTTGCATTACCCCCCCAAAGTTTTTCTCTCTGTATTGAATCAAACGCTTTCTTAAAATCGACAAACAAAGCATACATTTTCTTTCCCTTTGTATTTAGACACTTCTGAACAATTGAATTAAGTATAAAGATATTATCGACAGTACTGTATCCTGCCCTAAAGCCGGCTTGGGATTCATCTAGTTTATCAAAAGTATTTGCCCAAAAAAGTCAATCTCTTGTTGATAATATAGACAAAAACCTTTCCCAATATACTTAACAGATGTATACCTCTATAATTATCAACATTATTCATGTTCCCGATTCTTATGAATTGGGATAATAATTCCAATAGTCCAAGTCGATGGAAAATTACCGCTCTCTAAAATAACATTAAAAATCAACTCAAAGTAAGGTAATAAGATATCTTCAGAATATTTAATAAATTCAGGTAATATATCATCAACACCCGCTGCTTTGTTTACCTTTAAGTGTCTTATACTATCTAGAATTTCTTGTCTGGTAATAGGTGGATCTAGAATATCATTAGTCAATAGGTCAAAGTCAGTTGGTGTGCTTGTACGTACATTAGTACTCTCGTTGCCAGCACTTACTTTTTAATTGCAATGTACATTCACGTGACACAAAAATAAACTATTTTGTCTGTCTTTTTGTCTGACTAACCATCAAAGTTTGTAGGAAATCGTGTGACAGCGTATCTCAATATTCAATCACTTCCTTCTTCATATCCTCAATATGTCTAGTCCTTTTTGGTTTATTCTGTCCTTCATTAGTCCCCACACATTCTCAATAGGGCTACGATATGGGCTTTAGCTGGGCTACACAACATTTGAACAGTTTTGTCCCATAACCACTGTTTTCTGTAGCACAGAGTGTGTTTTGAGTCGTTATCATGCTGGGTAATCCAATTATCTTCATACAGTGTTCGGGCCGTTCAAGAGTTGCCACCCATATTGTGTACCTTACTACAAAATGTAACACCTATTTTAAAATTATCAATATTAGGAAACAAAGATTTTCTCAATAATTTCTGGGAAAACTGTATGCTATTTCCGGATTCACCAAAGGAGGAAACATCTTAAACCTGAATCACTTCAGATTACCCTCAACAACATAACTGGAATATTGATCATATCTCAAATTAACTGACCAGGATGTGAATTGCATAATATCAATTTCCAGCAATAATAACCATTGTGACTGACACTCTGTGGTGAAGGCCAGGGTCTAGATTTCCGAAGCTCTCTTAGCTTAAGATAGTCGTAACCTCATGGGTAGTCGCATCTGTCTTTGTCTTAGGCTATTTTCGAAACTATCGTAAAACTTAAGATATCTTAGCTAAGATCATTATCTAAGATAGGTATATACTTGTCGTAACTAAGGTTGCGCGCACTTACACCTTATTCACGTCTGTTATATTTACATAGGGGAATTCCGTGACGTCATCGGGGATTCCCTGGATACGGTTTACGACAGCTGTCGTATCTAGCTTGACCTTACGACGGATTTACGAGCGTTTCGAAAATCTCTCTTATGGTCGCGCTAAGATTATCTTAACTGTACGACCTGTCTTAGTTATGAGAGCTTCGAAAATCTAGGCCCTGTGTAATTTGATACCAGTACTATGACGAATGGTCAATGGGAATGAATGTCATCCACCGCTGCTTCTCTCCGTATCTGATTTTGATGGACAACTCTTGAAAGCCACTGATCCCTATCATATAGATAACGGAATGAGCAAATATGTTGACCGGTTTTGTCACTTTCTTCCTTTGATATTTCAGAATCCAGTGCCAGCAGGCCAGCCCATGCCCACGCTGCAGGTGCTGAAGACGTTGGACAGACGACAGCTGTCACAGATATACCACAAGTAAACACGAATAAATAATAAACTTTGATTACCTGGAACTCATGCAAATACCAGCGTGTGTGTCTTTTTCCAGTTTGATCGGAAAAGATAGTGATAGTGACCACGTTCTACTATTTTCACAGGTCTTAGGATAGTACTTGGTTGACACGTGTCATCGTACTCACTCACTCACTCACTCACGCACGCACGCACTCACTCACTCACTCACTCACTCACTCACTCACTCACTCACTCACTCACTCACTACTCAAACCTGCCAAGGGTCACATTGTGTTTAATGCATGACCAGTTACGACTAAGCCACGGATGTATGTTTTAGTGGCACGCGTGTGATATATGATCATACGATACAGATATACACATTGCACCTTGGTTCTGTAAGCTTAAGAGATACTGGTCAACGATTTTGCCCGATGCTCGTTAACAAATATTATTTCCCGTATTCAAACGATCATGCTCAAGATGTATTTGAAAGGCAAACAGAAAACATTCAATCCCCTCAAATCAGTAATACAACGTCAACGTCAGAGGAACACGTTTCAAATGAAATTGTCCGAACCAACGCATGGATAAACGAGTTATGGGATAAGATGGACAGGATTAATATCCTGTTTAAACTGATGTTCCCAAGGAGCTAAAGGGATTTGCGTAAATAATTCAATGGATTTCTATTCAGCTATGTGAACAGCGTTCAGATGTCGTGTAAGAACATGGTCAGGCGTGGCAACATCGGTGACGGTGGCTGGAACGTTTGTGAAGACCCTCCATACGGAATGAAGACACCCTGTAATATTTATTCATTTGGGTAGGTCCTCTGTCATATATGGCCAAAATTGATCAAATTATTCATGTTAGAATTGCCCTTGTCTGGTGACAAGCTTCGATGACTAGTTACGTCAGTACTTGATTATCATCGATATTGTAATGAACTACCAATAATTCTAATTGTAGTGTATAGTTCCAGTATATTCTTTCAAATGCCACAAGGGTCGGTTGGGTAGCCTAGTGGTTAAGGCATTCACTCGTTCACCGAAGACCCGGGTTCGATTCCCCACATGGGCACAATATTTGAAGCCCATTTCTGGTGTTCCCCGCTGATATTGCTGGAATATTGCAAAAAAGCGGCGTAAAACTAAACTCACTCACTCACTCCAAATACCACCATTCTGATTACCCTTCGAATGAAATCACGACTGACTATGTATGGAGTGTATTCTCCTAATCAGTTCCACCTTACATCTTCAAATGGGCTTCACACATTGTAGCCATGTGGGGAATCGAACCCGGGTCTTCGGCATGACGAGCGGACGCTTTAGCCACTAGGCCACTATTGTGACGGACTGCCAATAATTCTAATTGAATAACCACCAGCAGGCTCACACTTTCAGCGACGTGTGTGTGTTTTGTTATAAAATATGAAATATAGGTATTGTAAGTTAGGGAGCCTTGAGGTTCGAGTTTTCGCACCTCACTCAGAACATGATTTGTGTATTCCTCGGAGAACATGGTCACGTTGTTCCACTGTGTGTATGTGCGTGCGTGCGTGCGTGCGTGCGTGCGTGCGTGCGTGCGTGCGTGCGAGTGTAAACTTTTCTCCTGATCAGTTCCACCGTACATCTTTCAGGATCAACTACGACTGGAGCTTCGACGACGCAGTAGCGACAGCATCCGGCTGCCATGTCCACTCGTATGATCCAAGGTGTGTGCTTTCATAAATACGGGACCAAATGACAGATTTTACTATTTTACTTTTGAAACACAGGCCTAACATTACTAGTTTTCAGCGCTGTTTTCATATAAAAACTGTACCCTCGAAAGTTGAGCTCATCGTATATTGCCGTGTGCACATGCACTTTGTCATGAATCAAATGTTTATACCTCTGTAAATATTTGTTTATGTTGGATTCCCGATGCATCCCTTTTAATTGTAAGAGATACTGAATATTTTTAATCCTTCCCAACTTTACTTGAGTTTACAAGAATTTATACATTAGGAAATTTTCGAATGTGTTCATGCCTTGGAATGTTATGTATAGTTCCGGATATCAAGGGTGTGTATTGCAACTGCTTGTATATATTCATATTACAGATACTGAAACAAGATAGTTACAGTTGTTTCAACGATGTGAAATATTGGGTTTACATTGCTTAATTTTCACATTTGCTGATACCCTTGGCATCAAGGCTCAAATGACCTTTTGAAGCTCATACTGCTTAAGGTCTGGCTAAGCGAATTAGTGGTATGCATGTGGTGTGCGTGTTTCCATTTGGTCACTATACTTCAACCTTGTCATTTCTTTGGATGTTAGCGGAAAAGTGGGGAAAACATCTCCAGATAATGAGTGTGTGAGTTTAGTTTTACGCCGCACTCAGCAATATTCCAGCTATATGGCGGCGGTCTGTAAATAATCGAGTCTGCACCAGACAATCCAGTGATCAACAACACGAGCATCGATCTGCGCAATTGGGAACCGATGGCATGTGTCAACCAAGCCAGTGAGCCTGGCCACCTGATCCCGTTAGTCGCCTCTTACGACAAGCATGGGTTACTGAAGGTTCATTCTAACCCGGACCTTCACGGGTTACCTTGGAAGACTACAGTGTTCTCATACTGTTGGATTTTCAATTTCTTCACTGGACATGCGCAGTTGATCAAAGATCAGTAGACTGTATATAATAACATTTTTCGAAAATGCATACATGCATGCACGCACGCACACACACACATACACCGTTGGTAGTTCATGATCCCCAACTAATTTCAAGTGTATATTATAAAACTGTGTTTCATACCTCGTTAGGATGAGAAAGCCACAATAACTCGGTGCGCCTAGTGGCTGCAAGAGTTGCATACTCCCGAGGGAGTTGAGATTGATAATGCGATGTGCCGTTGAGATTGGCATCCGATGATCGAGGGAAAAAATACCAGCGCCTTGAGCATGCACCAGTGCGTGGATAAGTGCGCCATATAAATATCCTATAATAATGTGTATTCGTTGTTAATGTGTTTCATATGATGTTATGTGTATTCGTTGTTAATGTGTTTCAGCATGACAAAAGTATCAGACCACGACAGGAGAAGTAACATTCATTTCCATAGAACAGGCCTTAATTCTACCGACACCTCAAACATCAAGGGTTGGCGAATGCGAACTTTTTCATCAATTATAAAGGAAAATAACCACACACAGGTAGGTCGGATGTATATATTTTAATGTAGTAATCAACAAGCGCGTGCAGTGAAATTTCATTTTCACACGTACAAGTCGCACACATGGCTATTCTACCAGCAAGTGGTCCTCCCTCGTAAGAAATAGCGAAAAGTGCCAACAAAATAATGAACGTTTGTTAACTCAACTTTTTTATTCGGGTGTCCAAAATTATGAGACAAATCATCAGAGTTGGTCTGTCGATTTCATGCGACTGTGCAAAAATTTGGTTTTGTTGCATTTATCAGTTTTTGTGTAAGTGAGCAATTCATCGGTCTCAAATGAAGTCAAACGGACTATAATTTGTCCAACAGCTCCAGCCTTTGTTGTTTGCATTTCAAAACTTTTGAGGTACAACCGAGCGGGCTCTTTTTATAAGGATTTCGAAGAGGTCATACCACTCGTGCTCAGAAGTTATTCGATCAAGGTTACAGCATTCAAGACCTCAGTAAAGCTTTCAAAAGGTTTTATGGTAGACACGGTAGATCACATCGTATATCTGTAATAAACACACTCATGGTATGGTCACAATTGTTCAATCTACTTTCTTTGGAAAGTGGAAAGAGTTTTGTCGTTTCCTTTAACGAGCGTAGCGTAGCCCCCCACGAGCATCTATAAGGTGGCAGTAAATATATCACTCTCTCCTACCTGTTAAGTTATAACACACTTTTTGAATCATGCAAGATTATGGCCTGATAAAAATGTTCATCGTATTAGCAGCTTAATGATTAAAACCGTGTCAACATTCAAATTTAAGACTGGTGAATTATTTTGTTGGCTAGTAACTTTCAGGGATAGTCAACCCGACTGGCTAGCAAAATCTGGAAACTGTTTCGCACACTGCAAGGTGGACACATTATTACCCAGACACTGCATAGTTGTCAATCTGCATGCAGCAAACTTTGAGCCCAATGTCTAAAAACAAACCACTTGTGTGACCGACATAACTTCACCATCACTGTGCCGCCATATATGCGCGTTTCATATGGATCAGAATATATGTGAGGGTCACTGTAGCGTAGATCGATTCTATCTCACACTGTTGATCACCAGTCAAAGATTGTCTGGTCGATTATTTATAGCAGGAATATTGCTGAGTACGGCGTTAAACAAAAAAAAATTAAAAAAACAACTTTTGGGTGTATTATATCAATCCAGTTGCAACATTCTGCTACTATTACTTTGGTGTCTACTTCCCGTGTACGTACGAGCTCCCTGGCGCTTGAGTGAACTCTGTTTCAAACTTGTTTTCAAACACTGAAACACTGACTGACTGAGTTTAGTTTTACACCGCTTTTAGCAATATTCCAGTAATATCACGGCGGGGGGACACCAGAAATGGGCTTAACACATTGTGCCCATGTGGGGAATCGAACCCGGGTCTTCGGCGTGACGAGCCAACGCTTAACCACTAGGCTACCCCACCGCCCCCAAACACTAGAACAAAACATGCCTAGAACTAAAATATATGCTGAAAAACATTAGAAACGCACCACACATATAATACGAAATATCCCCGTCAGACTGAAATGTACCCATGATATCTGAGCATCGTCGGTGCATTTAGTGTGGTGCGTTTCTAATGTTGTTCAGTATATATTTGTCATACATATGTTCCATTTGATAAATAGTTCTCATTACTCTCGACAGAGAATGCGACGTAAAATATCGACAGCAAATCTTTTAATCACTAGTTTTCTCAACGCGAGGTGGCGACTTACGGTAAACGATCGAGTTTGGACCTAACAGTCGCATCTACATTGCATCTTTATGGTTCCCCCAATTCACTTTAAATACAAAGTATCTAGTTTAATCCTCAATATCTTAGCATTTTACATCATTCTGTTATTTGCCTTAAGTTATTAATGGGTTCACGGTGTGCTATTTAAAAAAAAACATATATACAATTAACCCGATGAACGCAAAAGGTTAATATTACGATTACTGTAACTGATGTTTCCTTAACATTGTAATGGCAAGAGCTACATTCACTGTACAGTATACATGTATATTGACTCCGTTAACGTATTTTCTGTTCTAGGCTATAATCGATCTGCTCAAGATTGACATTGAAGCTTCGGAGTGGTTTGCCTTTCCTGAAATGTTACAAAGTGGAAGTCTGAAAAATGTGAAACAGTTTTGTTTTGAACTCCATATCAAGCTGGGAAATAACCCAGAGCCGGACATAGCCAAGTACCTGAAAGGTCTGGAGCTGCTGAGAGACTTCTATAATGCTGGATTTAGGATATTCCATACAAATAAAAATATGGATGCCAAATACAAGTCAATGTTTGGCATGGAACGAACAGGTTGCCATGAGATTTACATGGTACGCAGTGACACACAGACATTTGATTAACATGGCTTGGTTCTGTTTAAATTGTCTTGTAAACGTCTTCTCAGCAGCCTGAGAGATATTATACAAGGATTACACCTGTGTTTGGTTCTTGCCAGCTTTAACCTAAATGCGAGATGAATTGTGAAGAGGCCATAAGTGTGTGGACTTTAGGGTGGTAAATGTAGCATCAACACCGTGACGACTGACTAAACTGCAACTGCTATCACCTTGACAACCATACCCACAACATGTAACACCAGTACTGTGACGGTTGACTGCACTACAGCCACTATCACCTTGACAACCATACCCACAACATGTAACACCCGCACTGTGACGGTTGACTGCACTACAGCCACTATCACCTTGACAACCATACCCACAACATGTAACACCCGCACTGTGACGGTTGACTGCACTACAGCCACTATCACCTTGACAACCATACCCACAACATGTAACACCAGTACTGTGACGGTTGACTGCACAACAGCCACTATCACCTTGACAACCATACCCACAACATGTAACACCAGTACTCTGACGGTTGACTGCACTACAGCCACTATCACCTTGACAACCATACCCACAATATGTAACACCCGCACTGTGACGGTTGACTGCACTACAGCCACTATCACCTTGACAACCATACCCATAACATGTAACACCCGCACTGTGACGGTTGACTGCACTACAGCCACTATCACCTTGACAACCATCCCCACAACATGTAACACCAGTACTGTGACGGTTGACTACACTACAGCCACTATCACCTTGACAACCACCCCCACAACATGTAACACCAGCACTGTGACGGCAGAGTCCACTACAGCCACTATCACCTTGACAACCATACCCACAGCATGTAACACCAGTACTGTGACGGTTGACTGCACTACATCCACTATCACCTTGACAACCATACCCACAACATGTAACACCAGTACTGTGACGGTTGACTGCACTACAGCCACTGTCACCTTGACAACCATACCCACAACATGTAACACCAGTCCTGTGACGGTTGACTGCACTACAGCCACTATCACCTTGACAACCATACCCACAGCATGTAACACCAGTACTGTGACGGTTGACTGCACTACAGCCACTATCACCTTGACAACCATACCCACAACATGGAACACCAGTACTGTGACGGTTGACTGCACTACATCCACTATCACCTTGACAACCATACCCACAGCATGTAACACCAGTACTGTGACGGTTGACTGCAATACAGCCACTATCACCTTGACAACCATACCCACAACATGTAACACCAGTACTCTGACGGTTGACTGCACTACAGCCATTATCACCTTGACAACCATACCCACAACATGTAACACCAGTACTGTGACGGTTGACTGCACTACAGCCACTATCACCTTGACAACCATCCCCACAACATGGAACACCAGTACTGTGACGGTTGACTGCACTACATCCACTATCACCTTGACAACCATACCCACAGCATGTAACACCAGTACTGTGACGGTTGACTGCAATACAGCCACTATCACCTTGACAACCATACCCACAACATGTAACACCAGTACTGTGACGGTTGACTGTATTACAGCCATTATCACCTTGACAACCATCCCCACAACATGTGACACCCGCACTGTGACGGTTGACTCCACTACAGCCGCTATCACCTTGACAACCATCCCCACAACATGTGACACCAGCACTGTGACGGTTGACTCCACTACAGCCGCTATCACCTTGACAACCATCACCATGTAACTTGTGAAACTGATGAAATAGAACTCATGATAGAGTCAGAATTGTACAACCGACTCTGATTTTAGCAGATATTTTTTATGGATGTGGAAAGTGTTTTGTTGCTTCTATTCCAGGGCTAGAACGACAAGATATCCTGAATATTCTGTCTGTCTTCTTATTCATTAAACGTTGAGCAATGCGATGGCGACCACAGTGGTTCTGAAACCTTTGTTGATGTATATCCCAGTCTGTGCTGGGAAGAGTAAGACCTTAAAGAAACCAGTGCCACATCCATGAAGTGTTACAGAATAAACCTTTCATCACATTTACACTATTTACACAATATGTTATTGTTAACACAGTATATCCGTTTTTGACAACTTATTCACGTTTGTTCCAAATATCCTACTGATATGTGAGGTGGTGGGATAGCCTAGTGGTTAAAACGTTGGCTCGTCACACTGAAGACCCGGGTTCGAATCCCCACATGGGTACAATGTGTAAAGCCCATCTCTGGTGTCCCCCGCCGTGATGTTGCTGGAATATTGCTAAAAGCGGCGTAAAACCAAAATCAGTCAGTCAGTCCTACTGATATGCACAGGAATCCGTCTACGGCGTGACAATTGTCTGCACAGAATTGCCTCCCCTTGAGGACGCAAGAAATCTATAATGTCGCGTTCTCCCACCGAATGAACCTCCTCCGTGGTGTAGTGGTTAGAGCGTTCGCCCGGAGAGCGGAAGGTCGCGGGTTCGATCCCCGACCGCGTCATACCAAAAGACGTTCAAATATGGTACTTGTTGGTCCCTGCCTGGCGCTCGGCATTAATGGGTACAACAAGGACTGGTCGGCTCGAAGTCAGTATAATGTGTCTGAGTGGGGTATTCATGCTTCACTGCGGCTAGCACTATAAAACCAACTTAAGTCTGGGCTAGTACAAGCAGCCGCACATACACATACACACGCATGCACGTCTTCATATGAGCGAAATATTCTCAAGCACGACCTTAAACCCAATTTCACCTCACCTCTCCCACCGAATGTGTTTCTATCAGTGTCATTACTTTTCAATTTTGTATTTACTTTTGTCGTAAATACAGACCACACAAGGATCCAGACGTATCTTTAGATGGTACTCCCATCAAGGTAGTAGAAGAGGCCAAATTCCTGGGTCTCATATTCGACCGCTACCTGACATTCTTGCCACACATAAAATATTTGAAAACCAAGTGCTTGAAAGCTCTGGACCTACTAAAAGTCGTTTCAAATACAGAGTGGGGAGGGGATCAGATTACCCTCCTTCACTTGTACAGATCTTTGGTTCACTCTAAACTAGACTACGGCTCCATTGTTTATGGTGGAGCCTGCAAAAGCAATTTAGAAACATTAGATTCTATCCACCACCAAGGCTTGAGGCTCTGCCTGGGAGCTTTCAGGACCTCTCCGGTAGACAGTCTATATGCAGAGGCTAACGAACCTTCCCTTGAACAACGCCGCATTAAACTTTCACTGCAGTATATCACTAAACTACGTTCAAATCAGTCCAATCCAGCATACAATTGTGTTTTCAACCCTCTCTATGAAAGCTTGTTTCCTAAACTGCCAAGCCTGGTCGATCTTACCCTCACTAAATTCAAAAAGTCTGAAACAAATCCCTTGGTGTTCCAGCAGGAATACATCCAGTTACGTTCCAAGTAACACCCATAGATCCATTTTCACAGACGGATCCAAGTTGCCAGTGCTACAGTCATTGGACGCCGCGATCATGATATTGATACCATGCCTTATCGTTTGATAATATGCGCTCTGATCTTCACAGTGCATTTGTCACTCTCTGCCCTCATCATATGTAACCAGCAGGCTATTCTCAATTACTCATTTGATAATTTTGTGCCGAAAGAAACAACATTTTATTGTGTTACGTGTGACGTCACCAACTCGAACTGTGACCTAATCCTGTCTATATACCATGCCTCTCATGCTGCCCATGCACGAGCTTTGTGTCTACTTGGGGACGACACGCTTCCCGTGCGAGTCGTCATCCAGCGACTGTTGTGCTCTAATGATGTTGAGACAAACCCGGGACCCGTCACACTTGAACAAGTTCAAGATAACTTACTCAGCGCAATTGAAAACATGAAAGCAGAATTAGCTACCGCCAAAAATGACCTAAGTTCACAGATCTCCTCTCTACGGAAAGACATTAGTGCTATTAGTTCCAAGTGTGAACACCTCGAACACTCTGTAACAGATATTCGTGGAGAAATAGATATCATCAAACAAAATCATGATATTGTGAACGACGACATTGATGCCCTCGCGGAGAAAGTCGATTCTGTGATCGAAAACATGTCCAACGTAGATACCGAACTAGACCGGCTGGAATCTTACAGCAGACGTGACAATATCATAATTCATGGTATACCCGAGGCTGACGGCGAGGAGAAGTCTATGACATGTAAGCAGACATCGTTATCCACTCTTAACGAGCATGCTACTTTCAAGACGTGGGGAACGTCTGACGTTATCCGCGCACATAGGCTTGGCGTTAGGCGGGTTAATGCTACCAGACCTCGACCAATGATTGTAAAGCTGCACATGTCTGACGATAAGGTGCGCTCCCTGAAAGCAAGACCGGCATTCAAGGCAGCGGGACTTGGTATCTCCAGTGACCTAACGTCACGTCAACGTCAGCAACTTCAGGCTTTGAAGGGGACAAACATGTTCGGCTATTTCAAGAATGGCCAGCTGGTGACAGTACCTCGCTCAGCCAGTGGAGCTACTGGATCCACCAACGTACGGGATACCAGAGTTCTCACCCAAACGAGGAAACGGCAAGCGAGGCCGAAATCAACCCTGCCGTAGGATTTGGGCCGAGGCCCGGATCGTATCTCACAGGGTACTGCTCACAATGACACCTGCATTACACCCACTGAACACAGCTTGTGCAACGAAACTCTCTCATTTCTGTGTTGGAATATAAACGGACTTCGTAATAAATCAGGAGATGATGACTTTATAGATTATATTAGAAAATTTAATATTATTTGCCTTCTCGAAACCTTTGTTGACTTTGATTACGACATGAATTGGTTGGTTGATTACCAAGTTTTTTCAAGTTCAGCTGTGAAACTGTCTGATTATGGCAGACTTTCGGGAGGTGTGTGCGTGTGTATACATCAGTCTATTAGCAAGTTTTGTAAGTTCATAACTACAGATATCGACAATTTGATATGTATACACATGTCAAAAGCTTTATTTGCTATTGATAAGCATGTTAATTTGATATGCACATATATACCACCTGAAGGCTCTCCTTATTACAACCATGTTGATACCAGTTGTAGTCTAGATAAACTTGAGGAATTTTTATTAGATATACAATCGGAACTTAGTGATTCACATACTGTTTTGTGTGGTGATCTAAATTCCCGAACTGGTAATGCAAATAACCCTTCAACACCCTCACGTGATGATATATTACATAGATACTTTCCATTTCATGAAGATGATGATGTTAGTGTTGAAAATCGGAAGTCTCACGATACATCTACAAACAAATTTGGCCAGAAACTTTTAGATATATGTTACGCATTGCAATTGTTTATCGTTAATGGGAGAGTATATGGCGATTTACAAGGGGAATATACATTTTGTGCGAATCAAGGTGCTAGTGTCAATGATTATTTTATATGCTCACCCGATTTCTTCCAGTACATAGGCAGGTTGAATATTGGGGATCGGCATGAATCTGACCATTTACCTCTTGAATTAACTTGTAAGTTCCCCAATATTAATCATAGCATGAACGATGATAATGGGTCCACAAATATCAAACGACTTGTGTGGAATGATAATTTTGCAAGCACTTTCTTATCGAACGTGAAAGAAAACATAACTTCGTTTGGAGGAATTCTACTCGAAACAATTGATACAGATGTAAATGGAGCCATAAATGACTTTGTGGAACTGTTATCGACTTCAGCTAATTGTATGCTCAAAAATGTCAATCGCAAAGACCGAACAAATACTCTAAATACAGATTGTAGAAATGCGCGACGCAATGCTCGTAAACATCTTCGTAGATTCAGAGTGACTCGTTGTAATTATGATAGACGGAAATATTGCGAAAGTAGAAATAAGTATAAAGCTTGTTGTCGAAAGTATAAGTTTGATTTGAGAATCCGCAGACAAGAAAGGTTAGAAAGATCTATAAACAGCCCGTCTGCATTTTGGAAAAGTATCCGCCATTTACAAAAAAGAAATACGTCCGGAAATAGCATAACTAAAACTCAATGGTTAAATCATTTCAAAGATGTATTTTCAAACGGTGAGATATTAGACTCAACATTCGACGATGAAATTAACACTGTAGATTCCAATAATGACTATTATACAGAAGTAGATCAACTTGTACTAGACAGTCCTATTGCCGAACAGGAAATACTAGAAGCGATAAATCATCTTAAAATGGGAAGGCTGCTGGACCTGACTTTATCATAATAGAAATGATAAAGTGTTCTAAATTCGAAATTATGCCGTTCCTTACGAAATGTTTCAATAAGCTGTATGAACATGGAATTTTTCCCTGCAGTTGGTCAAGCTCTATAATAAATCCACTTCATAAAAGGGCGACAGAAACGATCCAGATAATTATCGGGGTATATCATTAATGAGTATCTTGGGGAAAGTATTTACGTTGATATTGAACAATAGACTATCAAACTGGGCGAATATGCGTGATAAGATTCCTGAATCCCAGGCAGGATTTAGAAAGGGATATTCTACCACTGATCATATATTTACTCTGTATGCACTAGTCCAAAAATCACTATCAAAAAGAAAACATAAGTTGTACATAGCATTTGTAGATTTTAAAAAAGGCATTCGACTCAGTCAATCGTTTTAAATTATGGCAGTGTTTACGCAAGGCAGGTTTACGAGGGAAAATGGTTAGCATTCTCAAATCAATGTATTCTAACGTTCGATCTTGTGTGCGTTGCAAAGACGGGGTTACAGATTTTTTCGATTGCCCACTTGGTTTAAGACAAGGTTGCTGCTTAAGTCCACTCCTATTTTCCTTCTTCATTAGTGAATTATATCACGATATCAATTTAGCTGGAAAACATGGAATCCAAATGTACCCAGATCTTGTAGAAGTCCTAATGCTCCTTTTTGCTGACGACGTTATTTTAGTTTCGGATACTGTGGTCGGTTTACAAAATCAATTAAATATCTTAGAAAGTTATACTAAAGAATGGAAGTTAACAGTAAATTTAAGCAAAACAGAAATTGTGATATTTAGGAGGGGCGGTCCCGTGGCCAGAAACGAACGCTGGTTTTTTGATGGTCAGTTGATTAATGTATCCGATCAATATTCTTACTTAGGGTTTTTGTTTTCAAACAGAATGAACTTGAATAAATGTGCACATAACTTAACTTTACGTGGAAAAAAGGCTTTAATACAAGTTTTATCGGTTTTATACAAAGTTGGAACTATGTCACCCAATGTGTTTTTTTAAGATATTTAATTCTCAGATTCAACCCATTTTATTATATGGATCTGAAATATGGGGTTTTCAGCGTTTTGATTGTATTGAGAGAGTGCATCTTTTAGCCTGTAAAAAGTACCTCAATGTAAGCTCAAAGACACCTAACTGCATGGTATATGGCGAATGTGGCAGATTTCCTTTGTATATCAATTCTCACATAAGATGTTTAAAATATTGGTTTAAGGTTCTAAATATGCACGAACAACGTCTGCCAAAATTAGCTTACAATATGCTTTTAAATCTGGATAATTTGGGAAAACACACTTGGGTAACTGATATCAGAAATTTATTATTTTCTCACGGTTTCGGTTTCGTATGGTTGAGCCAAACAATTGGCGATGTGAACTGGTTTATATTAATGAATTTCGTGTTAGATCAATAGATATGTTCAATCAAGAATGGAAATCCACCCTAGATTCAAGCTCACGATATGAATATTACAGGACCTTTAAAACGTTACTCCAGCCAGAAAAATACTTATCAATAATTACAACATATAGTTTAAGAACAATGTTCGTAAAGTATCGTTTAGGTTTGTTATCTTTAATGATTAATGAGGGTAGAAAAACCTCTGTCCAGAAAGAACGTCGATATTGTCCTTTATGTAACGTTGGAATAGAAAATGAAATTCATTTTACCCTGATATGTCCTTGTTATCACGAATTAAGACAGAAATATATACCGCACCATCTTCTTGCAAAGCAGCCCCATTATGCATATATATCTTTGTTACAAACCAATAATGAAAATATTCTTGCTCAATTGTCCTTATATATAAAATATGCATTAGCTAAAAGAGATCTTCTTATAAAGCGAATTGTATACCCTTAAATATATATGTAAATATCCAGAATATTCCTTTATCACTGTAACTCTCATGTATATGGGCCGGAGGCCTTTCATACAATAAACATCTTTTGACTTTGACTTTTGAAGTGGAACTCATTCCGAGTATGTACTTACAATGTTTACAATTTTTACTATGCTCACCATCTGGTGAGCATATATCAATAATCTTGCAAAATTATATAAATGGTTTCCAGCAAAAATCATTATATTCAGTGGTTGTAATGTTATGCACTACTTCGCACATGCACAGCTGTCGTTATGAGTGTAGGTATTGAGTAATTGGACTTCACTTTGAATAGAGTGGATTTTTGAAGGAGCGGACTTCACTTGCATACTAAACATTCCATGATGCCGAGGATTACTTTTCGGCGCTTCGTCCTCGTTGGCACGGTGCTGACGATTATAATGACATTTGTAACGTTCATATGGACATATCGGGAAAATGTGAGAATGGATTTAGACGATTCATCAAGGAACACAGCGGTGATCGGTGTAAGTATTTCTGCCATGATAGTCATTCAAACAAAAATATGATGTCACTTACTATTGCACTGTAGTTTATTACAAATTGTCTTTTTCTATGAGTGCACCCATTCACGTACAGAACTGCTTATATTACGCTGATACAAGCATATATTATTTGAATTGCTGACCAGTTGGTAAACTTGCCGTCCTGCCCAAAATGATGAATGGAATGGGGTGTTGCTTAGCTTCATCGGTTAACCTTGATGGCGCTGCTGCATGGTCTCGTGTACCCGTGAAGATCCGGGTTAGAATGAACCTTCAGTAACCCATGCTTGTCGTAAGAGGCGACTAACGGGATCGGGTGGTCTTGCTCCCTGACTTGGTTGACACATGTCATCGGTTCCCAATTGCGCAGATCGATGCTCATGCTATTGATCACTGGATTGTCTGGTCCAGACTCGATTATTTACAGACCGCCGCCATATAGCTTGAATATTTCTGCGTGCGGCGTAAAACTCAACTCACTCACGCTCGTTACGTGACAACCATACTTGAACTTCTATGAGTAGCATTTAGAAGTTGGTGTGACGAACAACGGACAAAGTTCTATAGATATACAACTTTTTTATTATTTAACGTAAGCGACGTTTCAGTGCAGAGGCTAACACTGCTATCAAGCAAGTGATGTACAGTATTATGATTTTGAGATAACGTGCGCTTTCCGACATAATGCCTACTTCGCAAACGGGCCAGCCGGGCCATTAAGTATTTGATCGAAAGAGGGGTGATTTGACCAAAGGATGTGGCAACCTGAAGGCGGACGCTAGTGTTGCATAATTTAATTTGTATGAATTGGGAATTTGGTAATTTGAAAGAAGTGGTAAGGGGAGCTGAAGTACTGGATGGTTTGTTTGGTATTTGTGTTCATGTTTTGTTCTTGTTTTATTGGGGTGTTTTTCTCAAGTTATGTGGTTTGGATTTGTTGTTATAATATTGGTACTATGAGATAACAAATGCGTTGTCAACTGTTCTGTAGGACCAGATGGGGGTGATGGTCTGGAGGGCTCTATCTTCTAGGTCTGTCATACAGGTCTCTGTGATGATGGGTGAAAAGGGTGATCCCATGGGGAGTCTGTGGGTATGTTGAAGTATCTTGTCTTGCCTGGTGAAGTAGGTTGTGCTGATGGAGGAGCTGATGAGTCGGATGATACTGTCAGTGAAGAGGAGGGTCTCTAAGGTGGCGTGGGTTTCTTCGTAACTAACTTGAAGACAGTATATTGTCTGCTTTACAGAAATAGGTCACTGTAATCTTTGACTTGAAGACAAAAGCCGTTTAATGCCAGATGCACTGTTATAACAGGAAAACGTTGTTGAAATATGTTCTAAAATGGATTCCAAACAGTGCTCTTCGAGGTCTTGCATTAAAGGTGGTTTGAGATATGGTCAGATGATACTTGACCAATAACTTATCATTATCTCGGGACACAGGAGACCTGGTCATCCAATTCACAGGAGATCTTAATTCACAGGAAACCTAGTCATCTAATTCACAGGAAACCTAGTCATCCAATTCATAGGAAACCTGGTCATCCAATTCACAGGGGGCCTAGTCATCCAATTCACAGGAGACCTTAATTCACAGGAGGCCTAGTCATCCAATTCACAGGAGGCCTAGTCATCCAATGCACAGGAGACCTAGTCATGCAATTCACAGGAGGCCTAGTCATCCAATTCACAGGAAACCTAGTCATCCAATTCACAGGAGGCCTAGTCATCCAATTCACAGGAGGCCTAGTCATCCAATTCACAGGAAACCTAGTCATCCAATTTACAGAGGGCCTGGTCATCCAATTCACAGGAGACCTTAATTCACAGGAAACCTAGTCATCCAATTCACAGGAGACCTAGTCATGCAATTCACAGGAGACCTAGTCATCCAATTCACAGGAGGCCTAGTCATCCAATTCACAGGAGACCTAGTCATCCAATTCACAGGAGACCTAGTCATCCAATTCACAGGAGGCCTAGTCATCCAATTCACAGGAGACCTAGTCATCCAATTCACAGGAGACCTGGTCATCCAATTCACAGGAGACCTAGTCATCCAATGCACAGGAGGCCTAGTCATCCAATTCAAAGGATGCCTAGTCATCCAATCCACAGGAGACCTAGTCATGCAATTCACAGGAAACCTGGTCATCCAATTCACAGGAGGCCTAGTCATGCAATTCACTGGAGACCGTGTCATGCAATTCACAGGAGGCCTAGTCATCCAATTCACAGGAGACCTGGTCATCCAATTCACAGGAGACCTAGTCATCCGATGCACAGGAGACCTAGTCATCCAATTCACAGGAAACCTGGTCATCCAATTCATAGGAGACCTAGTCATGTAATTCACAGGAGGCCTTGTCATCCAATTCACAGGAAACCTAGTCATCAAGTTCGTTGCGCAGAGTTGCGTCCCTTGGGCAAGCCAGGATCCCGATTCTCCTCGATTACGTTTGTTATCACCCTACCAGTGCTCACTGGTTTCAAACAAAGTAGGAGACATCACCTTCCAAAATCAAGGTGACACGCTCTGGGAGTTGAATGTTATCCGCTTCTGGTTTTGATCTCTTACATACTATTTAACGCTATTGGTCTTTATCATATAGATATAGGTATATGATCAAACATGTTGTCCGATTTTGTCACTTTCTTCTTTTGATATTTCAGAATCCCGTGACAGCAGGACAACCCATGCCCACGCTGCAGGTGCTGAAGACGTTGGACAGACGACAGCTGTCACAGATATACCACAAGTAAAAACAAATGAACAATATACTTTGATTACCTGGAACTCATGCAAATACCAGCGTGTATGTCTTTTTCCATTTCGATCAGAAAAGATAATGATAGTGAAAGATAGTGTTCGAAAAACATAATTAAATCAAACATTTTTGTATCTACACAAAGAAAACAAAAATAGGAAAAGTTTACACAGCTATGTATCAAGTGTGAAATAGTCGTGCGTTCTTCAGCTCACAGGGAGAATCCTGTATATACGCAAGGAGAGAATGGTTGGTCAAGAGGGCTAAAGTTCCTACCTTATGAGCGTCCCTAAATCGGGCAATGATCCGAGTTTGACTCCAAGGTTCTAGCTCTATACTTGCCTTGGTTTATGATCACCGACCGTTGATACCAAAGCAAGTGTTAGACGCAAGTATCACTTTTTACACAGACTGTCATGTCAAATCGCATCAATTTGGTGCAGTTCGTTGTGCACAGCTTCATCACTTGAGCACGCCTATAACCAATGATCACAGGTTCCTATTCTGGTTCGGCCTGATTATAATAATAAGTCATCTTGTATAGCGCAAACCAGGTGTTACCAAACACCAAGTGATTGCTCGCGGCGCTTTTGATAACACAGCTAGACTAGGCATCAGGGTGACATTTTCGGAAGAGGAAAGTTGGAAGGTTGACTAGAAGGTAGACAGTGTTCTAGAGTTTTTAATGAAGAAAGGCAGATCATTCCAGAGAGAGGCGGATGTGAAAGAGAAGCGTCTATGTCCAAAGGTTTTCAGTTTGGCTGTGGGAATTGTGAGCAGTGAGTTGTTAGCTGATCTGAAGCATCGAGGAGGAACATAATCTTTCACCATGTTGGTCAGGTAGGATGGAGCTGAGCCTTTGATACAGCGGTATGTGATGCACAAGATCTTGTATTCGATCCTTGCTTTGATCGGCATCCAGTGGAGCTTGACAAGGACTGGTGTGATGTGTGACCGCTCCCTGCTTCTGGTGATGGTCCGTGCAGCTGCATTCTGAACGCGCTGTAATTTGGTGACAAGATCCTCACGCACATTACCCACTGTTGCAGTAATCCAACCGCGAGAGGATCATGGATCTGGCCAAATAGTGTGATGCATCACATGTCAACAGGTGACGGATGTTGGCGATGTTCCTCACATGGAAATAGCATGTACGACACACGTTATTGATATTGTCCTCCATAGAAAGGTTTGAGTCCATGATGACCCCAAGATGTTTTACTGTTGTACTGAAAGGTAGCACGGAGTGACCAACTGTAATCGAGTCCCCTTTAACCTTGGTCCGATTCATGGTTTAACCGGTCAGCAAGATGTCAGTTTTGTTGTCATTCAATTTTAGTTTATTGATTGACATCCAGGATTTTCGCATCAGAAATGCACTGTGAAACATGATCCACAAAACGTTCGTAGCGGTACGACATTCGTAAGCCATTGATAAACCAATAGAGTTACAACAAGTCGTAACGTTGCGAACGGTTTGTGGATCAGGGTCCTTATTCTCGAAACGTTCGTAGCGTAAGAATTCTTAACTTTGATCGTAGCCAATGTGTTAAGAATGGGCTTAAGAAGTTCGTAGGGCTACGAACGTTTCGAAAATAAGGGTCCAGGACCCTGATTTACATCTTTAAGTTTTAACCTGACATACTGAGTTGTGTTTGAAGGCCCTTAGTCTCCCATTCCCCCCGATCCCAATCTCTCTTTGCCCTTCTTGTGATGCGCCCATAAGCAGGGGACAGGCTCAAAAAAACAAGTGTAAACTCGTCATGCCAGTGTCCCTATTTGCTCTATGTGTAAGAATGCAAAGAGTTTCGTAACTCTGATCTAATAAGCTCGTGCTCTGCAATTAATAGCGCCATTATGGTAAAAGTTTCTATGAATATTTTGTCCCGTTTTCAAACGATAATGATAAAGATGTATATGAAAGGCAGCCAGAAAACATTCCATTCCCTTAAAGCTGCAAAAATGTAATTGTCCAACGCATATCTGGATTAACGTGTTATGGGTAAGGATTAATGGCCTATTTAAGTTGTTGTTTTCAAGGAAGGGGCTTTTGAGTTTGAACGAGAGTAAATAACTCAATGGGTTTTTTTATTCAGCTATGTGAACAGCGTACAGATTTCGTGTAAAAAGGTGGTCAGGCGAGGCAATGCGTTTGACGGCGGTTGGAACGTTTGTGAAGACCTTCCCTACGGAATGAAGACACCCTGCAATATATACTCATTTGGGTAGGTCTGTTATATTCATTCCAGATAGTTGTATCACATTTGACAAAGATTGATCAAATTGTTCATACGTTGAAAATGCCCATGTCTGGTGACAAGCTCTGATGACTAGTTACATCTATACTTCATTATCATCGATATTGTCGGTGAGTGAGTGAATGAATACGTTTTCAGATGTGTACAAACTTTTATTCATCAATCAAAACGTTTTGAGTGATGACATAAATTGAGTCCCTTCCTCTCTTCTCTCTTTATCTTTCCTATCTCTTCTCTCTATTCTTTCTTAAGATGCATATAATTGAAAATGTATGTATGTAAATATTGGGTAGCGGGTATTTTAATTTGGATAATTTGTCCCGAATCCCTTTAATATTTGTGAATAAAATATGTTAAAACCAGTGTGTGGGTTGGGTTTTACGCCGCTTTTAGCAATATTCCAGCAGGAACGGCGGGGGACACCAGAAATGGGCTTCACACATTGTAGCCATGTGGAGAATCGAACTCTGAGCCTTCGGCGTGACGAGCGGACGCTTTAACCACTAGGCCACTATTGTGACGGACTGCCAATAATTCTAATTGAATAACCACCAGCAGGTTCACACTTCCAGCGACGTGTGTGTGTTTTGTTATAAAATATGAAATATAGGTATTGTAAGTTAGGGAGCCTTGAGGTTAGAGTTTTCGCACCTCACTCAGAACATAATTTGTGTAATCCTCGGAAAACATTGGGCACGTTGTTCCACTGTGTATGTGCGTGCGTGCGTGCGTGCGTGCGTGCGTGCGTGCGTGCGTGCGTGCGTGCGTGCGTGCGTGCGTGCGTGCGTCCGAGTATAGTCTTTTCTCCTGATCAGTTCCACCGTACATCTTTCAGGATCAACTACGACTGGAGCTTCGACGACGATGTAGCTACAGCATATGGCTGCCATGTCCACTCGTATGATCCAAGGTGTGTGCTTTCATAAATACGGGTCCAAAAGCCAGATTTTACACTATTGTAACACAGACAAACACGATAGAAAATGCTTGATATTATCGCATTTGCCGTGTTTCCGACACTGACTTGAGCGCTTTTTTAATTTCACATTAAGCTATACCTTCGAAAGATATGCTCATCAAATATTGCTGTGTGCACTTACACGTTGTCATGTAGGCTGTGCTTGGATATACAACTTCTAACTTGCATGTGTGGATGGATTTGACTTTAGATCTTGAAATGCATGACGTAGACGTTTCCTTCTGCAATGTGTCAGCAGCCTAGTATACCTTCACAGTACACTTCACAGACATTCAAGAGAATCATTGTTGCTACATCATAGGCTATGCTTGCATTGGAGGATAGGAGAAAAAAAACATTTCTGTGATGAATGAAGCAAAACCCAACAGGAATGTCCATCTGCATGCGACATGAACTTGAAAATACACCAGAAATAAAACAATTATGTGCCGCAGCCAAATGAACGCTGCATTAGGTTTCAACTGAGTTAGAAGATGAATCGTAGAAAGACAATTGCATTCAGAAAATGATGATCTAGCGAAAGGAATAGTTTTTACAAATTTTCTCACGAAAATCTTATGGTGAGGCACAGCCTACAAATTCACTAATGAGGAAATACCCCTTCAAGTTACCCCGGAACACTCAGTAAGTTTATATTATTTCAAAAAGCTGTTATTCTATAGAAACCCGATAAAAGTCATAGAATGAAATACACTAGACGCCAAAAGAAACGTTTCCCTCCTACCTTTATGAATTACTTAAAAACTATCAAAGATATGTTAGAAGGTATCAGTTTACAAGAAAGCTTAACAACACGAAATCACCAAAATAAATTCTCAAATGCATTCATATATAGGTGAAATGCATCTTTTTCAGAAGAGTTAAATTGTCCTATTTTCGTCCATGCCGAAATAAACCAATAACAGTAAGTTAGATGTCCAAAAGAAAGGTTGAAATAAAATTCTACTTTGGGACAAAGATAAACCATTTAATATCACCATTTTTCAACTATTAAAACAAGAAACAACTGTTGTAGAGTGTGTAAAATTGGAAAATAATCATTCCTATGATTTCAGTCTTTTAAAACTTTTTCTGCTGATTTGCATTAGTGAAAACATGAAAAAAGTGTCTTTGATATTGTGAAAAAATGTTTAGGAATTTCTACAATGATCTTTGTTACCATTTTTACTTGCAAAGTAACATTTTTCCATTTTCTGTTTACACATAGCATTATCAATCGCCAAAACGCAGCAAAATTCAAGCAGTATTTGCATCCATTTCACATGTAGAATGATTCTATAGGGTATGAAGAGAGCCTAGAAAAGATTATAAGATATACAAGTACGAGAAATATGCCACGATTAACAGCTGAAGAGAGAGAAAAAGTCATTGGGATGGTGCAGATGGGGTCGACATACAATGCTGTTGCCAACGCCCTCGGATGCCACCGTATCACGGTTATAAAACTTATGTGGGAGGCTTCATGCAGACTGGGGCACCGTAGACAGACCAAGACGTGGACGCTGAAGATAGGTACCTCCGTCATTAAGGAAGGAGGGTAACGTTTCTTTTATTCCAGCAGATTGTGAATGGCTATGGATATATAGTGTCAGTACTAGGTACGTCTATTTGAGTGAGTGAGTATGGTTTTACGCCGTTTTTTGCAATATTCCAGCAATATCACGGCGGGGGACACCAGAAATTGGCTTCACACATTGTACTCATGTGAGGAATCAAACCCGGGTCTTCGGTGTGACGAGCGAACGCTTTGACCACCAGGCTACCTCACCGCCCCACGTCTATTTGAGGAACTAAACTATAAATTATATTTATTTATAAATTGACTATTAAATACTCTAGGGTGTTGGATGTCAGCGGTTGGGTTATTTGTATGTTTGTGGAAACGTGATACTGGTGAATCATTTCCGTAAGCGAATCGTATTTGTGTAGTCATTATGTTTAACGCATAACAAACATGCACATGAGTAAGTGAGTATGGTTTAAGACGTTTTTAGCAATATTCCAGCAATAGCAGGGCGGGGGACACCAGAATTGGGCTTCACATATTGCACCCGTGTTGGGAATCGAACCCGGGTCTTCGGCGTTACCCATTAGGCTACCCCATCGCCCCAAATACACATGAACGTTTAGTGAGTGTATCCCGACCTTTAGCAGTTTTTCAGTTTTTGCAGCCTTTACACTATAGGCCCCATATACCTTTATGAATTTAATAACCACATAAACACGCACACATACACACGCACGCACTCACGTACATGCACACGCACATGGGCGCACACACAAAAACACACAAACACTCTTTGTAAATATATTGTTTCAGCATGACCAGAGTATCAGACCACGACAGGAGAAGTAACATTCATTTCCATAAGACAGGCCTTAATTCTACCGACAGTACAAACAACAAGGGTTGGAGAATGCGAACCTTCTCGTCCATTTTAAAGGAAAATAATCACACACAGGTAAGAAGGATGTATTTTACGCTATCTAAGACGTGTTAGAACAGGAAACGAATTTTTGGGGAAACAAACTATGTAAAATGAATTAAAAAGGAACAAAATAACTGCAGCATGTGGTAAGTGATATGACCAGTGACCATGGGCACAAGCTATATGAGTGAGTGAGTTTAGTTTTACGCCGCACTCAGCAACATTCCAGCTATATGGTAGCGGTCTGTATAGAATTGAGTCTGGACCAAACAATCCAGTGATCAACGACATGAGAATCGATCTACTCAATTGGGATACGATGTCACCAAAGTCAGCGAGCCTGACCACCCGATCCCGTTAGTCGCCTCTTACGACAAGCATGGGTTGCTGAAGACCTATTCTAACCCGGATCCCAATGTATGTGGTGAACCACACACTCCAACAATCTTTATTGAACGCATATACACGTTAAGACTTTATTCAACATTCTGAACAATGGCATTACGACATCTGTTGCAAACAGCAACTCAGAAAGGCACGCAGCGTTTGTAAGTGTTTATGTCCAGATGTTGCAATAATGTCCGCATCGATCACGACGTCCGCGTGTGCTCCCCCAACTCACTACCTATCGTACAGGGGTGTTTTTTGTGTAGGGAACGTCAACACTGGGATAATAACCTTTTGGCTGTTTGACGTTATCAGTGGTGGGGTAGCCTAGTGGTTAAAGCGTTCGCTTGTCACTCCGAAGACCCGGGCTCGCTCCTCCCTCCCTCCCTCCCTCCCTCCCTCCCTCCCTTCACTCACTCACTCACTCACTCACTCACTTCACTCACTTCACTCACTTCACTCACTCACTCACTCACTCACTCACTCACTCACTCACTCACGCCCATATTGTCAGCAGTGCCGGCAATACATAACTGCACCACCACTGCCGTTTCGTATGGATCAGAAGTTATGTCTTGACAGGTGTCACTGCCCATTACATTTCGTCATATTGTAGCTATTGCAACATTCTGTTAATATTACTGTTGGGTCTGTCTCGTGTTCGCCCGAGTTCGATTAGCAGTTGAGAATACTCTGTTTCAAAATTGTTTTCAAACATTGAAACAGAACATGCCTAGAAAGTAACTTTATTTGTCATACAGGTGTTATTAGAAATAATATCTTTTTTGATCATAATATATGTTCCATTTGATAAATAGGTTCACATCAGTAGAACGCATTCCAAATCTCAGCAGAGAATGGGACGTATAATAATGGCAGCAAATCTTTTTTAAAATCACTATTTTTCTCAACGTGTTTGTGGCTGAAAGCCAAACTCAGCAATATCCCAGCAAGGTGGCGACTAACGGTAAACGATCCAATTTGGACATAACAGTAACATCACCTGTATCTTTATGGTTCCCTCAAATCACCTCAACTACAAAGTATCCAGTTTTATCCTTAATATCTTGGCATTTTACATCATGCAGTCAGTTACTTTGATATATCAATGGATCCACTATAGGCTATTTTGGTTATGTTCGGATATAATGTATAAATAATACATGTAGAGTTACAGTGATGGAATACTACTGAGCGGAGTGTTAAAAAACCAAAATATATTTAACGCGATGAACGCAAAATGTTAGTAATAGAGTTACTGTGAGGGCAGCATTTGTATTTTCTCTGTTTCTCATCGCCCGGCCGACCCTTCTAATTCTATTGTGCGCACGCGCGCACACGCACACACACACACACACGGGTGTTTTTCATTCCAAAACCGCCAACTCGCGCACCGCCTCGTCATTTAAAATGTTTACCTTCTAATCAGTCGCTGCCACAAGTCCAAGGAACGCGGGAAATTCTAATAAGAATTACAATAAATGAGAATCAAGAACATAATACAGATAACTTTGTCTTTATTAAGTTGGGGCTTTTTTCCCGACCGACTGACACATGTTCAGAATTTGTTGGCTACGTGAAACACATTAAAAAAATGATGCCCTAACTAGTGTGTCCTTCAACATTGTAATGCACGGGGCATATTCACTGTACAGGATACACGTATATTAACTCGATTGTATTAACTCCGTTAACGTATTTTCTATTCTAGGCTATAATCGATCTGCTCAAGATTGATATTGAAGCTTCGGAGTGGTTTGCCTTTCCTGAAATGTTACAAAGCGGAAGTTTGAAAAATGTGAAACAGTTTTGTTTTGAAATTCATATCAAGATGCCACTTAACCCAGAGCCGGATATAGACAAGTACCTAAGAGGTCTGGAGCTGCTGAGAGACTTCTATAATGCTGGATTTAGGATATTCCATACAAATAAAAATATGATTCCTGCATACAAGTCAATGTTTGGCATGGAGCGAACAGGTTGCCATGAAATTTACATGGTACGCAGTGACACACGGACATTTGGCTAACATGGCATTTCTGTTTAAACCAACGTCTTGTAAACCTCTCCTCAGCAGCTTGAGAAATAAATTCACAGATTACGACAGTGTTTTGTGTCCTCACACTGCCTTGACGGAATATGTTTGGTAAACCTTGCCAGTTTTCTCCACGTATTAATTGTGAGATGTCTGCGCGTATACTCTAGGGGGGTACAAATACATAAATCACTAACTGGCATCGCTATAAATGAAACCCCTTCATTAAAACTACTCACTCTTTAATCAACTTAAATCGACCTTTTTGACAACAGTGCACAATTCTCACCCGCGAACGAAATTTCAACCAATCAGAGCGGAGCGTCTCTGTGACGTCATATGAGGAGTAGACATGAGGGCCGATGCAGAATTCATCTACATTTCAGGGGGTAAATTATCTTGTTTCCAGGTTTGTATAAACCTGAAATCGTGACAACTGTTGTGGAAAATGAAAGCTATATGTTCTCACAATCTACTGTCATCTAATTTTGTCTCCTGCTTTGAATCGTTTCCGAGTTACAACTTGTTTTCATAGACGATTCTGTCAAAATCGCTTGGTTTCGTTAGGCCTTATTTGTATAATGATTGATCCAAATTGATCCCATTACTGTGGTTTTTTACCTCGATATTTAATCCTGTCATGTAAAAATATGACGTCTATTACGTATGATATTAAAAATTGACATTTGATTTATTTGAATCGGTAAACTAAACAACCCTATTTTGCCATTGCTAGAAGAATTTGAAATTTTACTTAGGTAAATAGGTACATTCAGTTTTAGCACACAGCAAATGCTTATATGTATTTCTTATGCAACAATGAAGTTCTGTTTGTATTCTCAAAACAGTGTCGGCCCATAAGTTTTCACATACAGCAATTAATACTCCCTCGTTGTAACCCGTGTTAGGTGGTATAAACCTACACATGTTATTTGTCATCATTCACTTGATGGTCAGTTAATGAATTTATAACAGGTATAATTAGTGGTAAAACCACTTAGATTACCCGACAAAGGTTTGTCTGGAGTAAATATTCAACATTATAAACATCGATCAAAGGATTAACCGATAACAAGCTTATTGATTAATTACTGTTATCTTACACAGCGGATTTGTCAAAAGGTAGTGTTTATGTATGTAGATTTACTAATCTATACTGAATACACTCTGTCGTGTCTGTGTCTGCGTAAAAACAACGTCCTTCCTTCAAAGGATTAACCGCCAATACAGTGATTAATTGCTCATTATTGGCTAACTAAATTACCGTTTTTAAAGAATGGCGGACATTATGCAATCGGTTGCCAGGTGTGCTATCTTGGGTGACCAATGAGACTATACACCAATGTGACATACCTGAAACGATATATCACTTTTTCGTATACTAGACTGTTAAAAGACACATTACTTGGAACAGCTGCAGATGAATGGCATATCAGTCGTTTTTGTGGATATTGATGGATACATTCCTCGAACAAGGTAATAGCCTGACATTGTTCCTATAACTTTAATCTGTTTTAATTTTAATATTTGCATTTTGTTTTTATTCATTTGTCGTAGCATTGAACAGAATCGTTGTTTTCGTCGTGAAGTGTAATGAGACATACACTAGGGCGTGTGTGCGAATTATGATTCACATTGGCAAACTATAAAACGTCTAGATATTAGTCCTGTTATAAATGCACTATAAGTATCAGCACATCGTCTGCTTTTTATTTAGTTTCAAAATGCATACAAGTATGATAATAAACTAATTAGGATTATAAGACCAAATATAAAGACGTACATTAACTAGTATCTACATACTGGTGAGTGCACGTTAACCACGTGAATGTAGCAAGAAATGTATTGCGCAGTATTGTCACTTCGATCCCCCACCTCGCTTCCGTGGAAGAAATCGTTATGTAATAAGTTGTGTCATGCAAAATGCTTTTGGTTATGGTTCAAGTACATATTTAACTACGAGTAGAAAGTAGTTTTGATTTTCTAACTTGATGAAAACAAACCATAATCTCATTAATTCTAACAGACTTTAGCCCGTGACTTCACGATTGTCAAAAATGGCGGCGCCCTGTCGCGAACATCCGCCAGTCTGAGTATAAATGCTATTTAGGTTTGTTTTCACAAAGTTACAAAATCAAAACTACTTTCTACTGGTAGTAAAATATGTATTTGATTGATGGCCAATAGGATTTTGCATGACATAGCGTATAACATAACAATATCTCTCGTGGAAGCGAGGTGGGTGTCAATATAATACTACTTACAGTATTATTGTTACTTCGACCACAACCTCGCTTCTGAGGCAGAAATCGTTATGTTACAAGTTGTGTCATGGAAAATCTTTATGGTCATCAATCATATACATATTTTACTATGACTAGTAAGTAGTTTTGATTCTTTAACTTCCGTGAAGCGATCTGAACACAAGTAAGATATCGTTTCAGGCTTCCACAACGCTCGCTTCGCACTCACAAACATAACCCATTTTGCACGAACTGCGGGGTCTTGTGGAAATCTGTGCATGGCGACACCATCGCCCGACCTCTAGGAGCAATTGACGACAACGCAACGATTTGGCATGTCTTCGTTGATGTCGGGTTGATGTCGAGAAATCATCAAAATGACGAGCTTGCTACACACTTTCTATACAACTAACTGAAAATCCTTCTTCATATGACGTCACTGCAGTGCTCTGGCGACAGACGTAACCTGTCTGTGGTTTCGTTGGCGGGCGAGAGTGAAGCAGGCGACTTTTTGGCAACTTTTAATCGCTCGGTACTAATTTAAAGTTTTTAAAGAATGAATTTGGTGTTCCGCATAGGACTGACCACAAATCTTTCATATGTCATAGTTAAAAGAGTAAAAAACAAACAAAGTTTATTTGTTCTTTAAGATAGTCATACCTTGGTAGGCCAAGGTGGTGAGGTGAGGTGAAATTGGGTTTAACGTCGTGCTTGAGAATATTTCGCTCATATGACGACGTGCATGCGTGTGTATGTGTATGTGCGGCTGCTTGTACTAGCCCAGACTGAAGCTGGTTTTATAGTGCTAGCCCACTGAGATACCATGCCGCAGTGAAGCATGAATACCCCACTCAGACACATTATACTGACTCCGAGCCGACCAGTCCTTGTTGTACCCATTAATGCCGAGCGCCAGGCAGGGACCAACAAGTACCATATTTTAACGTCTTTTTGGTATGACGCGGTCGGGGAGCGAACCCGCGACCTTCCGCTCTCCGGGCGGACGCTCTAACCACTACACCACGGAGGCGGTCTGGAAGGCCAAGGAGACAGGAACACTCCAATCTGAGGCTACAACATCGCAGGATTAACCGATATAAATTCCTGGGGCCCGTTCTGCAAAGCGATCTTAGGGCTAACTCTGTCTTAAAAGTATGTCAAGTTCCACGCACGAACGCTTTGTTTCAGGTGCCACCAGCTCCTTGTTATGTGTTTCCCTCGTAAACACGTTTGGTCCTTTTTCTTGGTAGTCCCCGTTCTAAGAGAACGAATCTTGTCGTTTGAAACAACCTCCATCTTATATGTTTGTTCTGTTGAGTCTAACAGTAGCAGTTGTTCTAGAATCTAGTATTCATGAATATATAGCCCCATAAATATTTAGGTGTATACTTTACCAGAAATCTTTCGTGACAAAGACATTCAAATCAGACAGCAATACTAGCTAAAATATGTTTTAAGTGTTTCAACAGATAAAGAGTCCAAGGAGATATTTCGCTTAAATCATTTTTTAAAATATGTTATGTTTAAATTAATCTAATTTCGTTCAGAATGTTTCGACGTTATAGAGAAAATTCAATTATTTGTTGTCAGTATGTTCTTGGACTTAAATCTATACATCTAGTGTTATGACGTATGGTGAGTGTTCCCACCATTTATGTACTGTGTGTTGTATTGTAAAGTATTGTATGTATTGTGTGTGTACAGTGAAGCCTCGTTAATCCGGACGGTTGCGTTTCTCAGCAAATTCGTCCGGATTGCGAATAGTCCGGACTACTGAATCAAGACCCAAGTTCAAGCAAGAGTTGCTTCCCTTACTATTACAAAAACGACACGAATCTGGATAAAACAAATAAGCATTTAATGTAAAGCTTATAAAACAATGAATACTTATATATGTTTTAAAGACTGGTTAAGATACTCTTTATGCCTTCATACAAACACCCCTAAATGATGATAATTGGAGAAAGAGACTGGATTACGAATGTGAGATGACAACTCTTTAGAGTTGGGTATGGCCATGTGCGGAATGATCTTAACGTTCATTATCATGGTAAATGTATATAAACATTGACACACAGATAAAAAAGATATGCGTAGAGAAACAAGTGTTTTATTACAAATTGATAGCCTCGTTTAGGTATGTTGTTTGATAGCCACTTCGACTGGCACTTTGTCTCTGTAATTAACTGTGTTTACATCAAAAGGCTTCTTCCGTTTATAATATAGAATATAGAGGAGCCAATACTGACTCCGAGCCGACCAGTCCTTGTTGTACCCATTAATGCCGAGCGCCAGGCAGGGACCAACAAGTACCATATTTTAACGTCTTTTTGGTATGACGCGGTCGGGGATCGAACCCGCGACCTTCCGCTCTCCGGGCGGACGCTCTAACCACTACACCACGGAGGCGGTCTGGAAGACCAAGGAGACAGGAACACTCCAATCTGAGGCTACAACATCGCAGGATTAACCGATATAAATTCCTGGGGCCCGTTCTGCAAAGCGATCTTAGGGCTAACTCTGTCTTAAAAGTATGTCAAGTTCCACGCACGAACGCTTTGTTTCAGGTGCCACCAGCTCCTTGTTATGTGTTTCCCTCGTAAACACGTTTGGTCCTTTTCTTGGTAGTCCCCGTTCTAAGAGAACGAATCTTGTCGTTTGAAACAACCTCCATCTTATATGTTTGTTCTGTTGAGTCTAACAGTAGCAGTTGTTCTAGAATCTAGTATTCATGAATATATAGCCCCATAAATATTTAGGTGTATACTTTACCAGAAATCTTTCGTGACAAAGACATTCAAATCAGACAGCAATACTAGCTAAA